CCTTTTCTGTGGCTGTTTACGGGAAAAGAACACGCACTTGGTGCGTTTGGACGATACTACAGATACGATATATTGTGGAAGGTAACTAATTCATCATAGGGGCAGATTTTGATCACGTGCTAGGTAACCACTGCACGTAACGCAATCAACAAACAAACGCTATAATTTGTTATTTTTGGCAAGCTTCGTCCAAACACTTGATTATACCTAAAACTTACTCCTTGTTTACAAATCGTTATCAAAAATTTGGTCGGTGGATGGTTTGCCGGCCGTCTCTTGTCCGTGGGGCAAAGCTACTTGCCCGAAAGTAAAATGTAGTTGTCCCAGATGAGAGGACGGGTGTTTCTTTGAGCCCTGCACTAGCCATCAAACTTTCTGGAATATAAGTTTAAATGTTCAAATTTTCAGATTTCAGTACGTGTGTAATGTATGTGGCAAAACACTTGCACAAACAGCACAACAGAATATAACACTTCCTACGCGTTACTCTGCATGACTTGTGACGAGACAAAAGGGGTAACCCAAACAAGGAAACCAGGTCACGTGACATGTCGTAGAAAGCTCATCCTAACTAATCCTGCTCGGATCTTAGCTCAAATCCTGGCTCGAATCCTGGCTCGAATCCTGGCTCGGATCCTGGCTCGGATCCTGGCTCGAATCCTGGCTCGGATCGTGGCTCGGATCCTGGCTCGATTCATGGCTCGAATCCTGGCTCGAATCCTGGCTCGAATCCTGGCTCGAATCCTGGCTCGAAGTTTACCTACCCTCGTTCTGGGTGCTTGTCCTTTAGCTTAAAAGTGTTGACATCGTTATAAGGAATTTTCTTACAATTTGTTCTGTTGTGGCCAGACGTATGGCAAATAGTGCACACTTTTCCGCGTCTCTCATGAACATTTGATAATTCTTCAAGGGCTTTTTGTTTCCCCTGTAGATGACTTTTGGCGCTTTCAACTTGCACTTCTAGTAGCTTTAGATTTTCTGACAGTTCTGCCGCTCTTCGGTCCAATGGACTTTGAATCGTTCGAGGGCTTTGGTTTGAAGTGGTCGCGCTCGCTTGAAAAATTACGTTGATTGCAGCCTCAGGTGACCGTTGCTGGGGCGCACTGCTTGTTCTTGAAGTCACGTTCAGTCGCTTCGGCTCAAGGTGTTTTAGGTTAAGCTGACGGCCACTCTCTGTTTTTACGCTGTTTAGTTCAGCCTCCAACACACGTCTTTCCGCCAGTAAAAGCTTATTGGGAGACGGAAAGAGTCCAAATCCTCTGATTTGACGTAGGCTAGTGATCTTCGTGAGCGAAAACCCCTGCTTTCGAACTGCACAGACAATCTCTCTACTTTCATTCCTGGAGATAATGATTTCAGCCAGCGGTAAACTTCACTTTTTTCAGCCATGATAGCTCAATGTTCACTCTGATTCAACAGATATAAATTGCATGTGCCTCGTTATGAGGTAACCTTGTGATTGGAAGATGCCAAAAAAGCGGGAAAAAAGTCTAGGTGTTCATGGTTCGAGTGTCCTCACTGTAATGACTTGTAGATATATTAGAGGAAAATGAAAGATGCTTATACAAGATGTTATTCTATTCTACATATGAACATATCCTAAGTGACATGTCACAAAAATTAATACGGAAAGTGCGGGATTTCTTTAAAATGTTGTCTTACAATACTTCTAGGTATCACTGTGTGCGCATTTTTTTTAATAAAACAAATAGTTCTTCATGTTAATAAACAATTACCATTACCAAAGATAAATGTTACCTTCCAAATCATGCATTCTGCCTTCAACTAATCCAGTGCGATGCTCTAAGGTTTGAACCCTCTGTGTCATCTCTTCCAGAGTTGTTGCAATATTTTGAAGTTCATGTTGGACTTTTCTCTTCTCTTCTTCAAATTCTACAGACATGTTCTTCAGAGCATTTTGAAGCAACTGAAGGTCTTGTTGAACCAATTGTAACAATGGTGGGTCTATGGGGGAATTCATGCAGAGATATGTTCCTGACAAAACAACAAATAATGAACTGATCAGTCTTAAGATTAATATTTATTGAACATTTTCTGCTAATGCGTAACTCTAGAAAATATCTATACCTCCCCAACAGAATGGATTTTTTTCTAAGACCCCCCACCCCTCTGGAAATGCCAACTAAGCTTTGCATATTTCTTTTACGTTTTTGGTCTTACAGAACCTCCTCCCCACCAGGAAATTCCAATCTCTTCTGTAAGGCAGGAGTTTGGATATTTTCTGGAACTGTACAATGTTGATAACAGGTAATTTGCGGGGTTTGTATTGTTTACACCTTTACTAATTTGAACTGATCCAAAGAACAAAATATGCATCGTAGCAGCTTGATCAATTTTTCTTGTTTACTGTTAGTAAAACATATGTATATACATTACCTTTAGTTTCCCAGTCTTTAAGTTCTCCAAGAAGTTTCCCTTGATCTGCAGCTGGTAAAGCCATGACTCTCACTAGGTGTTCCATGTCAATAAAACTTTGTTGATATTTGACTTGCTCCCATTTGCTGAAGACACAATGTGCCCAGTCATTTCTCCCCATTCTGACGTCAGCTGCAGCGGTTTGCACAGGTGCCGAGAATACAGGGACCCCACCAAGTAACGTCAACACAGCAGATGCATCACAGTGGTCATCAAAGGCAGTGAAGAGGGCCATATAGTTCTCAACATACAGCCTGGCAAAGTCAACATGAGACATTACTCGACAGTCAAACAGAGAATAATCAAATTTTCCACAACGTCTGGGATGAACATCATTTCCATTGATGTTCTCATATTTCAACACTTTTCTAGCTGGCCACCGTTGAAGACGTCCAGATGTGCTCTGTCCATGAATATTGTGGCTAGTCTTGAGGTTGTTGTATTCAGTGTTGATGCCTTGTTCCACAAACGGACGTATCTGTGGTATGAGGATCTTGTTGAGTGCTATTCCAGCCACAAGCCATCGTTTCTGATTTTCAGTCACACCAAGATGGCTTGACCTGAAGGTATAATGTTACACATTAAGGGATTACAATACTCCCAAAAGAGGGTAGTTTCTCAATAATTTATGGCTATGTTGGTTGGAAAGAAAGAAACCTGACTTTCCAAGTAACTTCTGAAGTAAATTACTTAAAACTCTTTCAAAAGGGGCACCTAGTTAAACAAAGCCTTAATCAGACTTGGTTTTAACTTGGCTAAATCAAGGATCAGAGGCATGTCTTGGAGTCCTTCATCTTTGAGTTATGTTTCTAGGAGGGTTACCCTTCTTGATTGTTTTTCCTGGTTTCATTTACATGCAAGGTAGGGTTACCCTGGGCGGAGGGTAATCCTATTTGCTTGTTAGGGTTGCCCTGGAGAATTATTTCAGAGAACTATGCTGGCAAGAGCAAGGTGAATCCAAAGCTGGAATGATACAGAAAATCAGGACAACAGTCAGGGTGAAAGTTTGGCAGCTGGAATAGAACAATATCCTGATTAGACCAAACAATGGGCTAAAGTCAGGTTGACCAAAACAAAGGTTTGACCTATGGAGCTCTATTTGATCAGCCACACAATAACTCAAAAGAGAAAAGAAATGTTGCCAATCAACCAGACTCTATGTCAAAGAGATGAACAAATGGGCATGGACTGCAGCCACCGCCTTCCCAAACATATCAGAGAGAACAAGACAAAGTGCAAATTTCAATGGTGTCAACTTTGGGACTGATTTGCGGAGCATAAATTGTATGCGCACAGGGATAACCCTAGACAAGTAAAGAAGGGCTATTTCTTGACCCTTCTGAGAGGGTTATAAAATTAGATTATTGGCTGCTAGATCCATCATACCTCAAAAAATAAACTTGATAATTTTCCTAATAATTATGTTATAAGACAGAGACCATTATCTTAACTTACCCAGAGGAAGCCGTTGCCATCTTAAGAATTGTGCGATGATGAATTATATGTCTTTGACCATCACATTAAATAGCAATACCTAAATAAGAAAGAACATTGTAAAATAATACAAGTGATTTTTAAATAATTTATGTGGAATAAAATAAAAACCAATTTAGCAGTATAGTTATCGGACTGAGGGTGCTTGGGGCTTATCTAAACCCCCCCCCCCCCTCCCCAGGCCATTACTTCCACATCAGGGCTGCCTCCACCACCACTTGCAGTGGACTACCAGATAATCTCATACAATCCATGGGCGATTTGTTGGCAAATATCAAAAGGGAATGCCAAACGTGGCCAGAAAAGCCTTTAATATCAGGGGGGTCTGGAACCTAGTATGTTACCATGGTAACAAAACTGTTAAGCTCATATTGTGGAGCACAACTAGTACAATGCCAAAAATCAAGCATTCCTGATACAAATTGACCCAGATATCTTTTTTTATCATATTTGATTAACATTTGGTTGAGTTTGTGACATCATCACTTGCAACTGACTAATTTGCATATTTTAATAACTTGAATATCTCATTAAAGAAGACAGATATTTAACAATTACTCACTGAAGGCGAAGTGAAAATTGATGAATAAGTGTTTTAGTATCACTTCAGAGCTGAACAAAGAGAAAAACGGACTAAAACATTAAAACAGAGACGCAATTGTTTGTTTGCATACACGTATGCATTGAGCTGTGGTTTTAATAATAAGCTTACATGTACATCGATTGTGAATCAATTTACATATCAAGTTCAGCAGTAAAACAAACAAGTGAAACACTATGAAAAATAAACTCATCCAGTACCTTTGTTTTATCGCTGTTGACTTCGTTCACAGTTGTCATCCTCGTCTAAGAATGAGTAGCTTTAGTTTGAAGAAAAATATATTTCGGTCAATCAATCTGACCTGCTGGCGATCAACATAACCACTGGGTTTATGATTCTTAAATGCCTTGAATATGAGTTCTTGAAAGTATTTTTGGTCCAAGGGTGACAGCAGTCATTTTGAAAAATTCATTCCGCAACTGTCCGCCATGTTTACTTGCCAAGATGGCAAAGGTGGCGAGCTTAGTAATCAAGCTCAGAAATGTTATATTCACTGCCTGGCCAGTGCAGTAAATATAATGTCATATAAGGAGTCACTCAACCAATCAGATTGCTGGAAACTCTGTTCAGCTCTGAAATTATACTAACTGAAATTATGAAATAACTGAGCTACTATGCACACTCTCATTGGTCAATAGGTGTGTTTAGATGAGAGTATGTAAACACAGTTGTGATGTTTTAGATTCACGCGTATTTTTGAGAATTACTTTATAAAAGNATAAACTGTAGAATCCGAAAATAACAATATATTTTGGGCATTTTCGTTTTGGTAGGCACACGCAAGTCTTTTAAATGCAAAAATGACAGTACTTGCTAAACTGAATTACCAGCCATTGTGGTGCCACTGACATCTAAGCTGACTGGACTATATTACTCAGGAGATGATAGGCTAACAAACCATGCAAGGCTTTTTCGATATTTCTATTGGTTCCTTAGTAAATCCCTTTCAAAGTTGGACCAGAGAAAATTTTCTGACTGATGTTACTCAATGGGACGTTACAGAAAAATGTTCTGATTTTCGTAAAAGCCTTGCACACTTTGGTGTGCTAATATCTGACCAACATTTTGACCAAGTTTCATTGAAATCCGATAAATCTACATACCCTAATATATAGATTTAGCCAAGCCTAAAAGTGGAACTCCTGATAACAATAATTAACCATAAATGAAAAGAGGATTTTTCCCCTAGATCAGAAACTCAAAAATGGATCAATTGTGCGCATGTGATTGTTCAGCGTGTGGTTTCTTTATTTTTTTTCTAGTTACATTTTAAAAAGCCATACCTAATGAGCGTATCCAAGATTATAGAAATTACATATGCAATATATCAGGGACTTTCCAAGAGACGATTGTGCAAGGAACATGTCGGAAGAAAAGTCAGCAACACATCAGGGGATAATTTTGCCTTTGTATGTACTACCTCCCTCTCCCCCAGAGTAATAACCTGGCTTGAGCCCGCGATCCAATAAAAAACCTAGTACCTGGTCAGCAGTTAACTTCGAAAAACACGAGACCTCAATGAGCTCTTGACCTGAACCTGTGATGTGGTCACAGGATACTGGTCAGCGGATACCTTGGTTGACAGCTGTCAATTAATCATAACATGGATGTCCAATATCAAAGATGTACCTATGGTAATGGTGCTACTTTCTTATTTTTGTTTTGGCGTACAGACATACCTACGTACAAACGGACAGTCACGTGACAACCTAAAATTTTGAGATTGATGGGTTACCAAATTTTCTAAGGTATGGGGCTGTGCTCGCGCACCAGCTCCGCTATTAATAGCGAAGCGCACGAGTGACGCTATATCTTAAACAAACAAAATGGAATGGTGGAAGATTTGAAGCTTTTTCAAGTGCGTAAGCAAGTGTTCCTAAAACAATTTTTAAAACGAAAACTTGGAGTTCATTTTTCTCCTATTTCTCTCATAACTCACTTATGTTGTCTGACTCATGCCAGGTTCCAATAATTTGCATTTTTTTTTTTTTTTTGGACTTCGCCCGCTTCGTTATTCATTTGAATAGAGGTATTAATTCATGCAAAAAGAAACCTCGAGCTTTTGGCCTCCAAAGAAATTCACAGTTTTCAAACCTCACAGAAGCGGTTGTCAATGTGGCCATTCCACCAACCAATGAAATGCAACATAGAACTTCCCAGCGAGTCTCTTGATAAAGAAAGCTACAGGAATGTTTCCCAGGAATAGTGCAATGATTATGTATGTAAAATTTTACATTGGGAAATGCGAAGTCTGCCGTGAAACACTCAGCAGCTTATAAACCAAATCAGCAGATAATGGAAAAGAAGGAAAGGGGAAAAAGAGAAGCCATAGCATAATGGCATTTGAACAGGCCTACTTGAGTGCGGATATTCATATAAAACTAAATGTGTAATTTATTGGCTTGTTTGTTTCCCTACAATATAGAAAAACACTCTTCAAAGTAGACGAAAGGAGCGTCTGGAGAGGCTGCCATGTTAGATATCAGCAATTAAATTTGCTGGTAATTCCACAGCAATTGACTTGTTTGCCAAAAGAGGGCAGCGATGATCGAACCACTCACTTGCGATTTGCATTTAAATTTGGGAACGTGAAGACCGTGCAAAACTACTTAGTCTATCACTTAAGAGACAAAATCAATCAACAAAAGCAAATATTTCTGTGTGAGAAATTGTATGACACAAAGGAGTTCACAGAAGAGATTGTGTGTTACTGCTCAACTCAAGGGTGTACACATTTTAATTGGCTTATCACTGTTTGCCAATTGTTGACTTGTTTTAAAAATCACGTTTTTGTGGATAACTCGTTCGCATTTTAAGTTTTCAACATAATTTTTTTGGGAAAATTCAGATAAAGTAGAAGTCTTTAATTTGGTGGGAAAAGACTATTTCGAACAAAATCGGCCCCTAAAGGTCTACAGTTACATTAACACATAATATGTAAGAGTTCATTTACCCCCTTTGGGCTAGTACATCCTCAAAGGAATTAATTGTACAACATACACCCCTTGTATCAGATTAAGCAGTTTTGTGCTCCATTTCGAGTCAGTTTCACACATTTGGTTTAGTGCTGGACTATTTTGTCTCTTCCCACTCACCCTCACGTCCTGGGTATTTGTGTTTTCAAACTCTTGTAATGAGGGTGGCAGAGAGGTTTGTTGACACAGTAAACCAGTTGTTTACTTCAGATGTGTGTTGTTTTTGCAGGAGGTTTAGTTTGGCAAATTATAATTAATATAATTAGAGTGTTTGTGCTAATAACTATGATTTATACATCAGGGCTCTGCATGCAGCATTTTGATCAGTTGTCAGTTAATTACATTGTATCAATTTACCATGAGTTCTTTGCTCTAGTCATCACTTTCTCCAACATTTATTTATTATTCCATATACATATAGTGTAACCTCCACTAACAGCCACCTCTCTACAGTGGCCACTTTTTTCTGTTACAGCAGATGATCCACACAGTCACTCTTATTTTAACTTCTCCACAATGGCAATGGCCACTGAAGCACGTCCTAACTGCCAGAGAATAACCACTCAACAACGACTAGTTAATCAAGGATTTACCAATGGTATACACATAACCTTAGTTTTAATTGCAAAAGGTCATGATACTTGATCCGTACCACGCATTGTTGGTCTCTGTTTCTGTCTGGTTTCTGTTTTACTGATATATTTTTATTTTGTTTCATATTTATATGCTTAAAGTAAGCATTTTTTAAAAAAACAAAATTAAGAAAACCCTGAAAAAACAGATGTAACATTAAACCCCTACGTCCTCATAATGGCTACCTCTCTACAGCAGCCACTTTCTTCTGTCCCCAAGGTGGCCATTGTGGAGAGGTTTGACTGTATAACAATTCATTACTTAAGATTTATGTCACCTTCAAAATTGTCCATTCTGTCTTCAAGTAGTCCAGTGCGATGCTCTAAGGTTTGCTGACCAGTTTCCAGCATTTGCACCCTCTGTTCCACCTCTTCCAGAGCTGATGCAACATTTTTCAGTTCATGCTGGACGTTTCTTTTCTCATCCTCAAGTTCTACAGACATGTTCCTCACCTCATCTTGTAGTGACTGAAGTCCTTGTTGAACCAGTTGTAACAACGCTGGGTCTATGGGGGAATTCATGCAGAGATGTGTCCCTGCCAACACAACAAATAATGAGCTGATCAATGATAAGATTAATATTTATTTCACATTTCTTCCAATATGTTGATAACAGGTATTTTTTATTTTTTTATTTTATTTTGGGGAGGGGGGAGGGGGGTGTATAACTTGTTTGCACCTTTACTAAACTGATCCAAAGAACAATATGCATCATAGCAGCTTGATAGACTTTTCTTGTTTACTGCTACCATAACATTATGATATGTAATGTACATACAGTACCTTTAGCTTCCCAGTCTTTAAGTTCTCCAAGAAGTTTCCCTTCATCTGCAGCTGGTAAAGCCATGACTCTCACTAGGTGTTCCATGTCAATAAAACTTTGTTGATATTTGACTTGATCCCATTTACTGAAGACACAGTGTGCCCAGTCATTTCTCCCCATTCTGACATCAGCTGCAGCAGTTTGCACAGGTGCCGAGAATACAGGGACCCCACCAAGCAACACCAACACAGCTGATGCATCACAATGGTCATCAAAAGCATTGAAGTGGGCCATATAGTTCTCAACATACAGCCTGGCAAAGTCAACATGGGACATTACTCGGCAGTCAAAAAGAGAATAATCAAGTTTTCCACCACGTCTTGGATGAACATCATTTCTATTGATGTTCTCATATTTTAACAATTTTCTAGCTGGCCACCGTTGAAGACGTCCAGATGTGCTCTGTCCATGAATATTGTGGCTAGTCTTGAGGTTGTTGTATTCAGTGTTGATGCCTTGTTCCACAAACGGACGTATCTGTGGTATGAGGATCTTGTTGAGTGCTATTCCAGCCACAAGCCATCGTTTCTGATTTTCAGTCACACCAAGATGGCTTGACCTGAAGGTATAATGTTACACATTAAGGGATTACAATACTCCCAAAAGAGGGTAGTTTCTCAATAATTTATGGCTATGTTGGTTGGAAAGAAAGAAACCTGACTTTCCAAGTAACTTCTGAAGTAAATTACTTAAAACTCTTTCAAAAGGGGCACCTAGTTAAACAAAGCCTTAATCAGACTTGGTTTTAACTTGGCTAAATCAAGGATCAGAGGCATGTCTTGGAGTCCTTCATCTTTGAGTTATGTTTCTAGGAGGGTTACCCTTCTTGATTGTTTTTCCTGGTTTCATTTACATGCAAGGTAGGGTTACCCTGGGCGGAGGGTAATCCTATTTGCTTGTTAGGGTTGCCCTGGAGAATTATTTCAGAGAACTATGCTGGCAAGAGCAAGGTGAATCCAAAGCTGGAATGATACAGAAAATCAGGACAACAGTCAGGGTGAAAGTTTGGCAGCTGGAATAGAACAATATCCTGATTAGACCAAACAATGGGCTAAAGTCAGGTTGACCAAAACAAAGGTTTGACCTATGGAGCTCTATTTGATCAGCCACACAATAACTCAAAAGAGAAAAGAAATGTTGCCAATCAACCAGACTCTATGTCAAAGAGATGAACAAATGGGCATGGACTGCAGCCACCGCCTTCCCAAACATATCAGAGAGAACAAGACAAAGTGCAAATTTCAATGGTGTCAACTTTGGGACTGATTTGCGGAGCATAAATTGTATGCGCACAGGGATAACCCTAGACAAGTAAAGAAGGGCTATTTCTTGACCCTTCTGAGAGGGTTATAAAATTAGATTATTGGCTGCTAGATCCATCATACCTCAAAAAATAAACTTGATAATTTTCCTAATAATTATGTTATAAGACAGAGACCATTATCTTAACTTACCCAGAGGAAGCCGTTGCCATCTTAAGAATTGTGCGATGATGAATTATATGTCTTTGACCATCACATTAAATAGCAATACCTAAATAAGAAAGAACATTGTAAAATAATACAAGTGATTTTTAAATAATTTATGTGGAATAAAATAAAAACCAATTTAGCAGTATAGTTATCGGACTGAGGGTGCTTGGGGCTTATCTAAACCCCCCCCCCCCCTCCCCAGGCCATTACTTCCACATCAGGGCTGCCTCCACCACCACTTGCAGTGGACTACCAGATAATCTCATACAATCCATGGGCGATTTGTTGGCAAATATCAAAAGGGAATGCCAAACGTGGCCAGAAAAGCCTTTAATATCAGGGGGGTCTGGAACCTAGTATGTTACCATGGTAACAAAACTGTTAAGCTCATATTGTGGAGCACAACTAGTACAATGCCAAAAATCAAGCATTCCTGATACAAATTGACCCAGATATCTTTTTTTATCATATTTGATTAACATTTGGTTGAGTTTGTGACATCATCACTTGCAACTGACTAATTTGCATATTTTAATAACTTGAATATCTCATTAAAGAAGACAGATATTTAACAATTACTCACTGAAGGCGAAGTGAAAATTGATGAATAAGTGTTTTAGTATCACTTCAGAGCTGAACAAAGAGAAAAACGGACTAAAACATTAAAACAGAGACGCAATTGTTTGTTTGCATACACGTATGCATTGAGCTGTGGTTTTAATAATAAGCTTACATGTACATCGATTGTGAATCAATTTACATATCAAGTTCAGCAGTAAAACAAACAAGTGAAACACTATGAAAAATAAACTCATCCAGTACCTTTGTTTTATCGCTGTTGACTTCGTTCACAGTTGTCATCCTCGTCTAAGAATGAGTAGCTTTAGTTTGAAGAAAAATATATTTCGGTCAATCAATCTGACCTGCTGGCGATCAACATAACCACTGGGTTTATGATTCTTAAATGCCTTGAATATGAGTTCTTGAAAGTATTTTTGGTCCAAGGGTGACAGCAGTCATTTTGAAAAATTCATTCCGCAACTGTCCGCCATGTTTACTTGCCAAGATGGCAAAGGTGGCGAGCTTAGTAATCAAGCTCAGAAATGTTATATTCACTGCCTGGCCAGTGCAGTAAATATAATGTCATATAAGGAATCACTCAACCAATCAGATTGCTGGAAACTCTGTTCAGCTCTGAAATTATACTAATTGAAATTATGAAATAACTGAGCTACTATGCACACTCTCATTGGTCAATAGGTGTGTTTAGATGAGAGTATGTAAACACAGTTGTCATGTTTTAGATTCACGCGTATTTTTGAGAATTACTTTATAAAAGTAACAGAGCACTTTTTCCATGTTTACATAGCCTCATCTAAACATTCAGGGGGCTGGGAGAATTCTTGAAAGTCATATTTTACGCAAACCCGAGACGTAATTGAGGGTTTGCATAACTGTCTTGAATTCTCCCAACCCTCCTTGTGTTTTAGATGAGGCTACGTAAACACAGAGAAAGTGTTCTGTTGCTTATTAATAAATAGTAAACAGCATTTTTCTTCTCATACAGACAACTTGTTTACGTTTTAATATGGCTTAGATAGGAAAGATGCACATTTCATTATAGTAGCACTTGAAAAGAAAAACTTCTTTGTTGCATTTACTTTTGTGAGATTACACAATATTATTGCATAATCTCATATAGGAATCGGCCCATGTTGAAGGTTTGAGGAATTGTTTTATGAAACCCGAGAATCTCTCCCCCGATGAGAGTTAATAGTTAATGAAAATAGTGAAAACTCATTTTATGAGAGTTAGTAGTTAATGAAGATACATGTAGTAAAAACTCGAGACAAAATCAGATTCATTTGTCACATTTACAAAGCGGCAGACAAGATGATATTTGAAATGTAAACTATCTTTGCTTCTAGTCAAATCCCTTCTAAATGGCTTAAACAGACCCAGGAACAAAGGTAAATAACAACAAACAGGGCATTTATTTTGTAAATGTTATTGCTGAATGGATACAGGGTTTGGGTCCCCTGTGCTTTGGGCAAGCGAGAAGATTTTCATGAGCGCAAATCGAATGCATGGGAGATTTAAAATTGCCTACAGGCCAAAATTTAAGTAGTGATGCGATGAATAAAATCCCAACTTGGTGTTGCGATAATCTCAAACCCTTCGGTGTGCGATGTTTGTGTTTTTCATGCTGCAGTGTTCAGTAAGAAAAGTTATTTGCGGTACTGTGGTTTCTTGCTTGACCTTTCTCAGACCTATATTTAGCATCCAAACTTTGTTAATACATGCTAATTTATGACAAGCACGCACCATTGTTTTTAACAAATTACAGACCAACACTGTCCAGTTAAACTTCAATATGCTTCAGCTGCCAGTCTGAAGCTGTTTTTATTAATATATAACTTGACAAGTAACTTTAGCTCTGCCATGATGCATCCAGAGCTAGACCAAACTTATTATTGACTGCATAGCTTTTTTAGCTGATTGGCACTGTGATGTGTTCATTTCATGGAAAATTGTTAACGGTGCC